AGAATCAAACAAAAAACAGTTCCACTCATGAGTTCTCTAACTGTTCCACAAAGCAGTTGTCTCCTAATTTTTAGCCTCAGCATCATGCACAAGCTTAACAATCACCCACTCCATTAAAACGTAACTGAAGCCTCTCAAAATTACTGTATTTTCAGCTCTTCTAGCACAGTCTTCTTCAGTGCCTCTGCTGTCATTACCATTCCAAAAACTAAGGCCTCCTCACTTCAAAAGAGCCACGAGTTACTGCACTCCCAGGACGGTAGATTTCACTGATCAAAGGATACTGTCCATCTCTATCCAATCTGTATTGATTGGGCAAGCCAGAATGGCAAAGCCAGTAAATTTGTGGGGTTTTATGGTTTTGCAATATTCCTCAATCCAGTTCCCATATTCCTAAACCTCACAACTATGGAGTCAAAAGACAAAAAAGGCTTAGACTGCTTGAGATCATATTTCACAGGATCAACTCTACAGCAAAAGTACAATTAACAAGTTCCAAGTAAATAGAAAAAGGAAGCTAATTAAGCTTTAGCTGCTACTAAAATGAACAGTGGCTGTTCTGACGGAAGACAATTAATTGGACTTAGGCAACGCTAATCAAAAAGTGGATACAGTAAAGTTAACATAAGTGGAAAAATAGTATCATGGAAAAGCCAAATGTTTAAAAGCTGTAGAAAGGCAACTAATTCACTCAAGTGCATTCTCCAGTTAAATTGTAAATAGTTTTATACTTTATGACAGTGGAATTTTAATTAGGACACTAGCAATTATAGAACCAGGAATAAGCAATTCTCTTTTAAAGGTTCAAAAATAAGACCAAAGCAGTGTAATTATCAAGTCAGAATAATACAGCTGGAACTACAACTAACCACAGGGAGAAACAGCAACTTCCACGAAGAACTGATCTTCCATTAGAAATAATGACAGGGCTGGGAGCACAGAAAACTACCCCCAGGATGTAGTTTCATAATTTACGTTAATGCAGGAAGATTTCACTAGATGCAGTGGGTAAAAATTAGCATCTCATCATCACAAAAAGGGGTTCCAACACTACTCATGTGCACCCACAGCTGGATGAGCATCTATGAGCCAACGTAATTTGTAGGAAGCTATCCCACTCCATAAAAGAAATCAGTTTTCTGCATCTTAAGCAATCTGCATGGACTTGCTGAAGCATGCAACATGCTCCAGAGTCAGAGTGAGGAAGGCTGTGGAATTTGCAGCTGGGACAGGAGCACATCTGCAGCACCTGCAACTCACAGATCGACTCAAGGGATCTTACAGCCAGAGCTGAGGCTGCTGCAGTTACCCATTCCCACTCTTGCGCTGGCACTCACATCAAACCAGACTCAGAGGCATTAAATCAAAATAAAACATCCTAATACAAGGTAATTTTTCATATGAATCAGCTCCCTTTATGATTAGTCTGAACATTTCTAAACCCTGCTAACAGCCTGAACACAGCAACCTCATTTCTGATCAATCTGTCATGAGACACCAGCTTCCTGAGAAAAGGGTAACAAAAGTGGGGCCAAAACTCTCAAAGGCAAATAGATGCCAAGTGCAAAACAAGACAGAGGAAAGTTATCTGACCTATGACTGTACAAAATATATGGTGATTAAGCTAGTAACGAAAGAGCCAGTCTAACTTCAAACCTGCTACAAAAAGATTGCTTTCAGTGCGTTTCAATCTCACCAAACACTTGCCTTTTCATTTCTCAGCTGTGCATCCTTATCACCTAGCTTAATTTCCTTTGTCTTCTCTATACCTTTAAAAAAGAATAAGAAACAATGTACAATACAAACAAATCTGTGAGCACTGCATATAACTTAGGTGACACACAGGGTTATATTACTGACACTTTGACCAAATCTAAAATAATTTTTAATGAAATTTTCCTCAACAATCATTTTGTCAGATTAATATAATTCATGCTTAAAAGAGTCTTGCAGGTTCCAATCTGTGCACATGCAAAAGCCTGCTCTGTCAAATTCACTACAAAGCAGGCAAACATTTTCCATGGTATTCAGAAGAGGCATTACCATAATTCCACAAATAGGTGTATTTCCTTCTTCCAAGAAAACACAACCCATTTTGGTCAAAGCAAAGCTGGGGGCATGGGCACGAATTTTTTTAAAAAATAAAAAAATCCAAACTCCAGAAACATTACATTTAACTGTTTTCTTGAAGTCAGGTGGTGTTATTCCACAATAACTTTTTTCTCTAAAAAGCACTATCTGCACATATGACTTTAGCATATCAAGCCCCACAGAGAGCTGACCACGTTGCACCTGCAGGGGATGTCTTTTGCACATTGCTCATCCTGCAATGGAATAGGTAGTGTAAGATCATACAAGAACAGACAGAAAGGAAAACTCAGACCTAACAAAGTGACATAAAGGTAAGATGACACTAGTCCCAGCAGGAGCAGAGCACAGCACAGCTGTCAGCCTGGGCCCACTGCT